TATGAACAGAAACCATGTGCAGGGTTTTAAAATGACTGGTTAGTTGTGATTGTTTGTTTCCATCTTTCATTAGTAATATTTGTGGATTTCGGTTCTTTTGTTCTTCCTTTTGGCCGGACAAAGTGTTTTCACTTGTTAATCTATTTGTTTTTCCATCCGAGGTGCGTCCTGTGTCTTTGCTGCTCTTACGGATGAAAAACTGTTTGTGTGGTGTTTAACTTTCCATTGAATTCACAGGATATTACACGAAATACCAAGAGCAGGCTGAGCTATTCAACCAAAATGTACAGGGTAGCTTTCCCAGCTTAATTTCAAAACCAAGAAGCTAGTTAAAAATACACATCTCACACTCTTTCTAAGACTCCCTCACACCAGAAGACTGTCATGCTGACACTGTGGCAAAAGGTGCTATATTCATGATCAACCCCAGTCTTACAAGTGCAAAAACACATCATCTGACTGAGTCTGATTCCAAACAGATTTGTTTGGATTCACCAAACAAAATCAGAAGCAGATCACCTGACCCAACTTCTGCTTTTGTACCTCATGAGAAGGGGCCCCAGATGACATGTCTGATATTATGTTTACGTGTTTCGTTAGGCTGGATAAAACACCGGCAGCAGGGGTTACCTGCGGAGGAGGAGTCGTCATGGTCGGAGCTCAGGTACCCGTCGCTCCTCCGGTCCGGGGTGCTGCACCCGGAGCCCCGGGAGGGCCTGCGGCAGACCTGCGGGAAGGACGGGGACAGCCTCCCGTCGTCGGAGTCGAACTCCCGGCTGTGGCGGAGCGGCCGCCGGCTGTCCGGCCCGAAGCTGGCCGTCCTCGGGCCGTCCCTGCACGCGCTCTTCGGCGTCAACAGGTTATTCCTGACGAAATTCTCGTTCAGCTCCGCGTCCTCGTACTCCCGGTCGCTGCAGTCGTCGTTGTCGTTGACCCGCGGGACGGCGACGACGGGGGCCTTGTCCTCCCGCTGGAAGCTGAGCCTCCGCGGCGGGACGGGGATGGGGACGGGCTTCGGCGTCCTGCCGCTGAACCTGCCCCGCTCCCGGCCGAAGGGACCGCCGATGCTCGCCGTGTTGCCCGCCGCCTGGAGCTTCCCGCCCCCGGGCTCGGCCGCCCTGGTCGTCTCCCCTCTGCCCTCGGCGTCCCTCCGCGGCACTCTGCTTATGTTACTCGTCTTAGAAAATGTGAAGTTTTCGGCGTTAAAGTTTTCATCTTTTTTCCCCTCGAACCTTTCCGGCTCGTTTTTCTTCCGCCGAGACACGGTGGTCTGCAGGTAAATCACCTTGAATTTCTCCTCCGCCAGAGCCTTCTGGAGCTTCTTCAGGTTGGTTTTGCATGACTCCAGCTCAGCCTCGATGTCCTCGACAGAGTTTAAATCCATTTGGGGTACCTCTCCGTCGGGGAATTCATTCCTCCAGTGTTTTGCAAATTCCTCCTGCTCCCACATATTAACGTTAACGCCGCAGTCAGATGGCTTGACGCTCTTCTCTGCTCACCGACACTGCCTGTCGCATATACCCACCTTTCCCTTTCCTCCCCTGTTCTCTATGAAAACAAGAATCACTGCCGATATTTACTTGACAACTCTCAGACCATCCTTAACCCTCCCACACGCGAGCTACATGCGTGTGCGCGGCGACATGCGCGTTACAAGTTTTCCCCCAACACTGAAAAGTTTCAGGACTTCCTGTATCCAGGCGCGGTGCGTTCACGTGCGGCTGGGATAACTGTCACCTCTCAGCCTCTGTGTGCACACTGGTGTCCTGACAGCGGCACCATTCAATCACCGATTTAATAACCGATTTTTAGAGCTGCTATGAGCTGTGGCAGGAGGAAGAAACAGCACCAATACTGGTGCAGGAATCAACCCAAGCCAACCCAACCTAATTCCAGTTTTCAGTGCTATGATGTAAATTCAGTTAACATTAAGATTATCCAATTATGCAGAAATCCCAAGGATCTGATCTTGTTAAGAATAAAATCATTTACTCCACTATGGCCATGTTCTGTCACGTCCATGATGACATCCACAAGAAATAAAGAGCTGTTTTTGGTATACCCAGATCCATTTCTCCTCCTATTGTCAGTTAAAATTTCAAGTGCATGGACAGATACTTCCCCAAAATACCATTTGAAATCTGCCAGCTTTCATTAATTGTAGCCGAACTGGACAAAGAAGGTAGAGACAGGCTCTGACGCAAGTCTCCTTCCCTCCAGCTGGTGGTTTCAGACATTTGATGTTGAGGAAGAGAAGAGTTCTGGATGTGCTTGTGGTTATCTGTTGTGTTGCTGTCCAAAGAGGAAGCACAAATCACTGCCGTTGCAAGAAACACGTGGGCTTTTCTCCAAATAAAGCCTGTCATTAGCTAATGTAGATAATCGCTTCCTCATTCTTCAGCTCATTTTCAAAACTATTTCAACGCAACTGAAAAAGGATGCTCTGAAATGGCCCAAAGACTCTACCCAGTCAAAAATGGTCAAACCAGACACACTCTGACCATAAATCCAGTCAATTTATAGTTTGAGATATATATAAAAAAAAGGTCTTACCTTCAAAATTTTTGACCATTGTGATTTTCATATTGATTTGCATCATCTCTAGAATGCAGATGGGGGCAAGTCTAAAATCTGAACACACTAATCTGTGCAGAATCCATGCAGCTGTGTCCAGACGAAGCTGTATGATAACTCGCTTTCCACCAGACTTCCAGTAAAAAAGATGTAACGCTATCCAACAAGGAAGACAGTTATCACAGGGAGGGGAGGGTGATGGCTGAGATGTACTCTTAGAAATTGTGAGTGGCCATTTGGATTTCTGCCTAGAAGTGAAAGATCATTCTTCCTAAAAGCTCTCAGTAGCCATTGATCTGCACTCATTGCAAAGCTGAGAGCTCTGATTGGGTTACAGTAATGAATAGGCCTGAAAGGCTACAACCAGGCTGCATTCATGAAACCAGATCACTGATTACAAACGCGATGGCAGGAAATGATGAGCGCTTTAGCCAAAGCCACAAGTGTTCGCTGCAGTCAGCCAGTGGAATGCATGACAAGAACTGAGGCAGTCCCATTTCTGATTGTTAACTAATATAGTTGATGCCAATCAGTCAAACAACAGTCTAACAAGTTTGCTCGGTCTGCAGTTCATTCCACAGACAATGACTTGACGGAATAGTGGAACGAAAAACACAAGGCCAGACAACACTTTATCCACCATCACTGATTCAGTGTAGGAGCTTTATCAACCAAAGGCGTACAGTCAAACAAAAAACTGAAAAAAAGGTTCAACATATACCTGTGCTGCTTTTGTATAAAGAGGTTAGATAACACCTGGTTACTGACGGTGTTATTCAACCCTTTCTGCTCCACACCCCTCTGCCTCTGTCACCTCCACTCACAGCCAGATGTCCTGCATTCCCGCGACATCAGATGATGAGGCACGACGTGAAAACAATCTGAAGCTATGCGGTAATTATTGCTTTTCCACTGTAAACACAAGTGTCTGCAGAACACTGCAAATTGATGTTCAGTTAGTATTGTTCTGCAATGCAGGGGGACTTATTAAGGTTTGCAGTTTAAAAAAAAAAGATTTTTAGCTAAAAGATGACCACGGTTTGTGTAAGTTGAATAAGTTTAGGCAACAGGATGAGGCATCCCCTTTTACTGTCTACCTACTGTCAAATAAAGGCCAATGTTATAAGGCCAAAGGTGTCTGTTTCACCCCTTTCTATCGATTAATTTCGTTGTCCCAACTTTTCTGATACTTGTTTCTGCCCCTGAAATTTATGATGACTTGGTATGTGATTAAATATTGAGATGAACCTTGCTGATGAACACTTGCTATCTGCATTCCTCTTCAAATGTTATTGTATGAACTTTGCAAATCAATGCAATATGTTCTGCATCAGGAATGCATTTCTGGCTTAATAGCTGAGAGAGTCTAATGTGTTATGGGTGGTTTAGGATTTGGTAGAAGCCAATGCTAAGCTCTGAGACTGCTGTGGTTTGTGTTAATGCACAGCTGTGGGTGTGTGATGCCCTCTTGTGGCTGTAGGCGATATCTTCATGAATGAGTCAAAACAATATAGGGTACAACATTTCATCATTTATGGATGATTTCCACAGTACTTATTTGTACAAATGATGCTCACAGAAATATTGCTGATTGAAAAGTTACATATTGTAAGACAACAGTACGACAATTTAAGACACAAGACAAACAAACATGAGACGCTACATCATACAACAGATGTACTAGGTCCTATATTGTCCACAAAATCAAACTTAAAGTGCAATTATTTCAAAACAGACACATATATGACTACAGAAAGGTCTCACATTGTAACCAGTTTGTATAGAGGAGGAAAACATGTACCATTTCTTTACAAAATATCTTGTGTTTCAACAAATATAATCTCCAAACTTGCTGTGCAATTTTCTCAGAAAACTCTAATAAGGCAACAATAAGACAGCACCACAGAGTTACAGGTAGGTAGTATCAAAGGCCACACGACACACCCCAACAGATGTTACAAATAGATTTTCAGAAGAAGACAATGGCAGTTTTAGGTAAAGAAAAATAAAAAAAACAGGTTAGGTTTCTCTATGGCCGTCCTGAGCAGTAGTAGGAAACTTATGAAGAGGGTTTTTAGATTTATACATCATCAGTAATCAAGCCTTAACCTTAATATTATAAAAACTCAGCTGATTTAATGTAAATACATATTTTAAATAAAGTGTCAGAAATACTGACCACAACAACGTACCGGTCTTCAGGTCAAAGACTGTCACAGTGACTCTTTGCAAAGCTTCCACAAACATTTTTTTGCATAGTTAATTCACTTTCTGAAATGAAAAAATAACACTGAATCTGAGTGTAAAAGATGGTATGTATTCATTATGCTGAGAGAGTCTGTCGTTTTGTCTTAAAAAAGTGCAAAATCTACACACAGATTTGTGGCGTGGCTAACACAGCGGCGGTTAGCCTTCCGGAGCGCTCTTCATGCTTTTCTGATGGCACTGGCAACCAACGTTTCCCTCCTGGTGGTTACAAACGCCTGTTGTTTCTCATAATACGCCGCCTCATTAATAAAAGTGGGATAGACGGTGCCGGATCCCTGGTAGTGGATGGTCTTCCCGTCAAACGTTTGGAACATTGGGTCACCGGGGTTCAGCGGCTCCCAGTCACAGTCCTGAAAAAAACAACACGCAGTGACCATGGGGGAAAGTAACCCGAGCCTGTTGCTCCAGCTAAAACAATATACTCTCACACCGACTAAAGATGGCTCATTTCCTCTTTCAGAACATCTTATTTTTATGGGATCCGCCCTTCCACTCATGCCCATTTTGATCCGACAGAGTGAAGGCGGCCCTAAGTCAGTCTTCCGGCTTTTACCTGCAGGTTGGGGTGGACCATGGCGATGATGTTTCCGTTGGTATCTCTGGGGTAGTCGATCCGCTCAGAAACCCGGAAGGCTTCCACAGTACAGGGAGGAAACTCCATGCCTTTACAGCCCCCCCAAAAAACAACAGGGACACAAAACGTCATATGTGGTACCAGCACAAAAACATTTGTCAAAGGTTGTTGCAGTGCGCATGTGTAAAGTTTCTATAGCGTTTGGATTAATTGCAAGTGCATAGTGTCTGCATGCATTCATTTATTAAAGAGAACATGTTAATGATCATGGCCCTGCGATGGACTGGCGGACTGTCCAGGGTTTACCCCGCCTCTCGCCCATTAACTACTGGGATAGACTCCAGTTCCCCCCGCGACCCCATTAGGGAGAAAGCGGTAACGATAATGGATGGATGGATGGATGGATGTTAATGATCAGCCTTTGCTTTTGGTAAGATGAGTTGTCACCACTAATTTTTTTTTTTTAACTACCTGAAAGGGGTTCTGGTCAAAGTTTAAAACCATAAAGGAAGTGGGATGGTGTTTAGCTGAGTTTAAACATTAAAGAAAATAGATTCTGGAGTTCACTTTTTTACCTATAACTCTACAGAGCCGCACAGGCAAAGGGACACCGATGACCCAAAAGGACTAATGCTGAATCCACGTGCGATTTCTGAGCTAAGACAAAAAGATGTCTGCTAACTGAGGGAGTTCTTTGGCCACGCTGCTCTGCTCGAAAGCACGGGAACATCGATTCATCACCATGCCAGAGCATTCACCGGCACCCGTGTGGTCCCAGGACAGATTACCACACCGTTGGCAGCCAGAGTGTAACGACATGGAAACTGACCAACTCCCAACAAGCAGGCCATTCAACGGCAGGACAGTCAGGGGAAACCAACAGACGGCAACTCACAGTTGGCACCAACTGCTTGCTTATGTAAGAAAAAGGGGAAGTTCAGCCTTGCACTTTAAAACACTGTTCACTGCACCATCGGTAGGAGAAGGGCAGTGCATAATAAGCCAGATGTAGATAAATTTAGAGATCTGGATCTCGGTACATCTGCATGAGTCAAACAGACAGTCACTAGTGGGCATTTAGTCACAAAATGCTTCTCATCCCACGGGATGCTGATATAATAATAAACAACCCACTTTTTCCAGAACACAGCAAACAGTGACTCATGTTTAGTCGTCTCCATGCCCAAAATTCCAAAGAGTAGCACAATAATTTCTTCATGAAAATAGAGCTGATAAAGAAGTGAGGCACGCTTCGCTTTCACTCTGACCGTGTTATGATCTGTTTTGCAGGAGACTCCATCGTTACCTTCATTAAACAGTTCAATGAAGTCCAGGGCATGTTTCAGTATCACTCTCATAGCTTCAAAGATGTTACTCCTCAAAACACCTTGTGGCTGGGGACCAACTTCCAGACCTACAAGGAAAAAACAAAACACATTAAAAATATATTTAAAATGTTTTTTTCTTTTTTGAAATGCAAAATTTAAATCTGAATGTGAAAAATTAATGGAAACTAAAAACTACAGTAAAATAAAAGGCTGCCGAGTTTAAAAGAATGAACTTAAAAATCTAATTTTAAAAAGTTCACATAGGAAAACGACTAAATGACTATGATGAAAGACAGAATGAGCACAAATTAATAAATAAACTACAAAAGACATTAAATAACCACAAAAAATACAACAGAGAGACACAAATACAAATTTAATTAAAAAGCCATAAAACTACTTGATGTAGTTATCTTTATTTGTAACTCATCTGTTCTACAGAATAACCCTAAATTACAAACAAAAACAGAGTTTGTAAAATTGATTGCTATTTTCTTTATTCAGTGTGATGATGTCCTGGCTTTTAAAACGCTGCATCACAAAGACTGTAAACCCACTACCTGAAAGCACCCTGAGTACGGTCTGCTGGGCTGGACACTCACCAACGGGGTGCTTGGCCACAGAGCGAGAAGTGGAATATTTCAGGAGGGGGTGTTCATTCAGCAGAACCAGGCAGCTGGCAGGAGCCATGGCTTTCTGCAGCAGAAAGCAAACAGGAAGAAGATGTTAGCCGAGGAAAAAAACACTCAAGGGGCAGTTCTCCGACAGAAAAATGGAAACTCATACTTGATCCGTGAGACAAAAAAATAAAAAAAGATGTTCTGTGACCAAATAAAGCATGTTTCATCTAAATGATTTACAGCTCGAGGAAAAACTCTCCATATCCTGACTTCCAAACTAGTGTTTATCAATCAGCGGAATGATTAGGAATAACAGTCATTTAGTGACAGATGTCGGTTGATGGTAAACCGGCCGTGTAAACCGCTGACTTCAAAAAGTTAAGACAAGTTAGAAAAGCAGAAAGCTCTGGGAGCAGACCTCACGAAGCAACATGCATGTTTGAGGACAAGTTTTTGGGGCAAATTAAAGCACAAAGGGAACTAAACCTCTATGGTGTGCACTGGGCTTTAGACTGTGTTTGCTATATCACTGCCTAATCCGTCGGTCCAGTGGACAAAGCGAAAGTTCAAACCCGCTTTTAAACAGGCAATAAACTTGATAAGGGTATCAAAAGGCCAGTGGCAGTCCTGTGTGTGTTATTATACTGGTCAGATGCATCTCCAGTTAAAATAAGCCGCTTCACTCAAAGCTGTAGTTTGCTTTCAACTGAAAACATCGGGGAGGAGGAAAATATAGGATGGCTTTACCATGTGGCGCTGCATAATCTCCCAAAAGCCCTTAATTCCAAAGACCAAAAAAACTGCTGTGTGTTTAGGATAATCTCGTGGTACTAAAACCACTTTGCAAATGACTAAATTTCTATTTAGAAATCAATGGTACGCCACCTTATTAACATGAAAAATTATGGTTGAAACGCTGCACAAATGTGGTTTTATGACACCAGAAAAATGCTGATTCAGCCACTTACAACAGCCCTTCTGGCTCTGTGATGCATTTTACCCCAATTTCTATTCCACAACACCAGGAAAGCCTGTTTCAGTACAGCTTTCACAGCTCAGTAGATGTTTTGACTAAATCTATTCCCTGAGTTTACCCAACGTGTAAACCGGAGGCAGGTGATTGAATTAGTTAACTGAATCACCGTAAAAACTTTCGATTTTAGTAAAATATTAACTTAGAAAGGGGTGAGAAATAGCATGATGGCCATCGCTGTCTTTTTCTCTGGTGTGCACGGGAGTGTTTGTGGTGGGGTTTCAGGCATTAAATAAAAGGCTTTAGTCACCTTTATGTAGTTCATCATCTGTAGATTGAAGTGGTCTTTGGAACTTTCCAAAATCAGAGTGCAGCCCATGTTGGACGTGGTGTTGTGGAGGTCAAAGATCACGTCATAGGCCTCCGGGCTTCCCTTGGGTCCAAACATCCTGTTGATCTCCTGGGCTCTCTGCACCTCGTAGGGCAGGTCGTCGCCTCCCGGTGCACTTAAAAAAAGACACGCAGACGTGCACTGTCAGTGGAGGGTCAGACGCAAGACAGTCACATCTTATCAGGAAATCAGCTGAAGGAGCAATGAGACATGAAGCCAGTTCATTTACAATCAAAGTGTGCCTTTGTATGTTTGGGGAAAATCTAGTTAACAGAGGAACTCTACAGATATTAGATCTTACATGTCACACAACAGACCAAAAGATAAGACACAATTTCTGCCTCTGTATTAAAGAGTTTGGGTTAAGGGGAACTTTTTATTTGCCTCCTTACAGCCTTGCAAATCTGCACTAAAAGATCCGTGAATAGCGCTTCAGCCTCAGGCTAAAGGTCTGCTCAGCGGGCTCTGTGAGCTCTTCTAAAGCATCCTAAAAATGGACCACCGGCCTGGCACTTTCTCCAAGCTACAGCGGAATCATAAAAAAAAGCCCCATATTGTCTGACCTCGCTCACATCTGCTCTTTAGACCTTGTTTTTCAGCCACTATCTGGCATTGTCTGGACTCAGAGGACAATAACACGCGGGCATGGTGCGAACAGCTGCGAGCTCCAGCTCACTGGCCTCAGTGCAGACGCACGCAGGTGCCGAGTCGGACGACCAGCGGAGCTGTCAGCCTATCTGAGCTGAAAAAAGGAAGCCATGAGCTGTTTTTAGAAAAGAAAAAAAAGCCTGGAACCGCTTAATCTTCTTCTTACACGTCATGTTAAGAGAAGCCAAACGGAGGGGAAAGCTGAAGAGATTCACTGAGATCTTTCAAGATCAACAAACATCTGCAGGCTGAGGATGGAACACTACTTTCGTTTTTTACCTCTTCGGATTAAATGCAACCTTCACGCATGACGCAATTAAAAAGGACAAATCCCTCCACAGAGGGGGCACTGATAGGAGTGTGTGTGTGTGTTTAATTTGTTTTATTTTTAAAGCAGTAAGATCTAGTCATATGCAAATGCCCTGTAGATTATGATTCAAACTCAGTCCCTTCTATTGGCCACACTGTTGAGATTAGGAGCCACTTTCTTTTCTTTTGGGGATCAAGTAACATTTAGTAGAGAAAGCTAAGATAAAGATAAAGAAAGATAAGATAGAGGGAAAGGCTGGGTCTGCAACTTTAGACAACAACTGTCAGACAACAATTAAAAAAGACCTTTGATACTGCATATAACATTATCATTATTTGTAGTTTGAGGCGGGTAAATAGTTTAAATCAATCTAAAGTTTGGTAAAGATTTCCTGCTGCATTTTTGCTTTTACATCTACAACTTAACCCAAAGAAATCTGTAAATAACGAACGAATAACGACGTAAAAGGAGTAAAAGCATCCATTATGAGGGGTAATGTTGCACAAGACTGAGCACAGACAGGACTGGTAATCAGTGGGAAAGTCAGTGTGATAAGTTAAGACGGACGTCCAACGGGAGAGGCTCGCTTCTTTGTTCTTGCACATGGACTACACGGGCCAGCGTTTGCGTAAGACGTTCCGCTCTGGCGCACACCAAACCGGACAAAGAGAAAGAGAGAAAAAAAAAACACGTCTTTAAGCGCCCAGAGCTCAGTCACGTTCCGCTCACGTTTTTCCTGCAGGCTGGCGGTCAGCTGGAGCTGAGGGGGGGGGGGAGGGGGGGCGGGGGCACGCTGCTCTGCTGCTATTGGCTGCCGGGGAAGACGCGACTCCTGGTAAACACTCGCGGAACACACAGTACCTGAGACAATAACACTCAGATGGAAATCCCACGTGACCCCAGAAGAGTGATCATCTAGGGTGTGATGCGATTACTGTTCTGATCACACGAGGGTACAGACTGTCATCCATAATCGATTGGGCTCGTGCCCTGTTAGAAATAATATTAAATAATGATTCTGATTCTGATGTTTTTACTCCAACTGCCATTGAAATACTACAGCTCCTAATACCTCAGACAAGGTCAGATTCGTGCCGTGCATACAGAAGTTGACATCGTGTTTTTGTGACAGCGACACGCTCTGCTGCGCGTGCCCGTTTACCTGAGGTTTTCCGGCGTGAAGGCTCGGTTCAGGTCCGTGTCCACGTATCTGCAGCACTTCTCCACAGCCTTCGGGTTGGCCACGAAAGGCTTGGTCTCCACTCCCCTCCTCTGGATCTCGGCGCCGTTTTTGGTCCACAGGTTCACGAGCGCGACGCCGGACATCTCGTTCCCGTGCGTGCCCCCGAAAATAGCCACCTTCCGGGCCTGGCTGAGGCGCGCGCTGTTGTGGTACGAAGACATGTCTGGGTGCTCCCGCGCTGCTCCGAAAGGGTCTGGGGCGGAGGGGGAAAGTTTCCAGCTGGAACACCACAGCCTCTCTGTTCAAAAGCCTGCCGAGGCTGCGTCTTTACGTAGAGCGCTCGCTCCAGTCAGCGTGCGTAACTGGCGCAAAGACGGTTACGCACATCTTTTTTTTTTTTTTTTTTTTTAACCTGTGACTAACAGGTCGTCAGACAGTGGAAATTGAACTATATTGGAAAAATCTTTCAAAGTTGTGTTATACCTGTTACTTGTCGAGTTAAACTTGACTTGAAAGGATTAATTAATTTAAGGTTATGATTAAACAGCTTATGGTTAAGGCATAAGCTTATGGTTAAGGCCTTAGCTGTTTACCACAAACAACTGATCAGTGGAGGATAAGAACATTTCTATTTCCAAGGTAAAAAATGCCATTATTTAGAGAGTTAAAATGCATTAAACGTCTCTTATTAACATCAGCTTGCACAAAAAAGTACCAACTGCCCTAGTCTGAGTCCACCTGTGATCTATAAAGTACAGAAAGATATTTCTGTACTATGGGTTAAAGCCCATAAGTCCTACTTTTTGTTTGACTGGATCATCCTTCTTTTATTCATGTATATTCCTCATAAATCTTCCGGTAACCTCTGATACCTTTACACCTCGGGGCCTTCCTCAGACGCAGTCCTTATTGCCTGATGCGGGTATGAAGACCTCTGTGAATGCTGAAGTAGAAATCCAGGTTATTGCAGTTGGTAGTGATACAATTCACTTGATGCTTTTTAACGTTAAACAGGTCCATTATTTTGATCAGTGTACTCAATTTAATCCATTCATTTTTTTCAGTGTAATCTGTTTCATTCACATGTTATTCATGTCTAAATAAATAAATGCAATCCCCCCCCTTCCCCAAATAGCGCTCTTATTTTCACATTTTTCTGTTTTTTATTACTTATATAATGAAGTGACCAAGTGGGTCAGAGCCTGGCTTACAGACCCCTAAGACAGATAATCACTGTCACTCCGCTGAGGATCTTTCAGTGTTAGTAGAAGTGATTATTTTTCCAATCTCCTCTCACATGTTTGGTCTCGCAAACATATATTTGTGAATTGTTCTCAGTGTGGGACAGAACAGTGATTGAATTTTGCACCGCCATCATGTCCCTCACAGACTGTCAGTGCTGGTGGACTTCTGCCACCTCTCAGCAGCCTCTTCCCTACTCAGAGCAGGAAAAAAAAAGATCAGATTACATTTTTCAGAGCAAATACAAGTTTCCCAAATCCTAAAATGTATTTAAAGGCTTAACCTCATTAGAGGATAGCATATGAGTCAGAAGACACGATGAGTAAAAGCCTGCTGCATCATGAAAAACAAGCAAGTTTGCAGAAAAATACATCAGTTTCTGCATTTCATCTGTAATCTTTAGGTAAGTGCGGTTTTAAGATGTCAGAGGAACTGATCTGTAATCTGCACCGAGTCGAGACATTATCATAACTCTGGTTATAATATATGACAGTAAAAGTGATCTACTGTTTCCACAGACAGCATCATTTGATGAGATGCTTTCACTGAATCGTAAAAAAGGGGAACAAAATGAAAGATATGCATCCTCAGATTTCCTTCTGCTTTCTGTTTGCAAGTGACTTTATGAGCAGAAAATTATAGAGTATCTTAACTTTATGAGCTTTTTTTCTGTCTTTTTTCTTTTAATAGAAAAATATGTCAGTGCCAAGTTCACAAAAAATAGGCTTTATTTGAAAATGAAATGCAGTTTTTAAAAAACATTCACATACCATAATTTCACATTTATATTAAACACTGTCAGTTTTTAACTTATCCGGTTCACCCTAACACTGAAAAGATGTCCTCATTGAGATTATGAAGCCTCCTTTTGGCTTTCTTGAGCTTGTTTTTCTTGATGTGGCCTGAAGAGGACGTTTCAGGGTGAGATCCCAAGCTGCACTCAGCTGTGGGCTCTTTCCTTTCCTTATTTTTGGTTTCAAACACCTCCGTTTCAGCATTCCCGGTGAATGATTCAACTCCTGGAACTTGATCCAAAGCTTTCCCTTTTTTCTTCTTTGTCTTACCTCTTTTGTCACCCAAAGTCTGAATTTCAGGGGTCCTTGAGGATGGATGATCTGGTTCAGCATCTTCAGAAGCAGCTGCTGGAGCGCCATGTGCATTTTTCTTTTTCTTTCTTTTTTTCAATATCACAGTTTCGTCATCTTTTGTCCTGACCCCAGAGTCACACGGGGCCGCCTGGCCCCTCTCCTCTGGTTCTTCATAATCTGCCTCTCCAGACAGACTCTGCTGTGTGGCTGACCTCTTTTTTCTCTTCTTTTTCCTGAACCCACCGTTAGTTTCCTGCAGACTTCCTGTCATTTCTGCTGAGAAAACGCTGAGGCTGGGCTTTTCGGGACACGAGTCGGTGCATTTTTTCCTAAGAGTCTGTTTGGCGTTTTCCTCCTCATCAGCAACCAGGAAGGAAGAGGCGCTCTTCTCTAACTGTTTTTGTGCAGATGCAGAAAAATCGCCTGGTGAAACAGTGTCCTCCGACATGTCGGTGCTGGATTTTTTTCTCTTTTTCTTCTTCTTCTTGACTCTGATTTCAGCATCTTCCGCCATTGTCTCTGTACAATCTACATTTCCATCATCTTCTGGAGGGATTGGGATATGCTCTGGCTCTGAAACCTTTTGCTTCTTTTTCTTTTTAAAATACGGTTCTGCACTTTCTGCCAGCGTTACATCATCATTTGCCAATTCTACATCATTAAAAGCATCTTCTCCGACTTGAGTATGCTCATTAGAATCTGACTTTTTCTTCTTTTTGTGTTTTTTTCTCTTAACATGGCTTGATTCTAATGTTTCCTGACAGGCCTCTGGATTTTCTAAACAATCGGCCGTCTCTTCGAGGTGTTCTGTTGGCATCTGAGGGAGATCTGAAGTCTCGCTACAGTCTTTTTTATTTTTCTTCTTTTTTTTCTTCGGTGCATCGCCGACATCGGCTTGATGTTCGGTAGCAGAGTATTCCTGAAAAAGCTCCACTTGGACACAGCTATCCACACTTCTTTTCCTCTTTTTCTTCTTCTTCTTGGTGACATTCTCTGTGCCACAGACCTCCTGCCTTTCTTCAGGCTCTTCAATGGGCTTCTGTCCGGCCTCTTCTGCGGCAGATTTTTTATTTTTCTCTGTCCGTAAACCTGTATAATCTGGCTCACTGGTGGCCTGTGACAAAACTTTGTCCACTTCAACGGTCCCCTCACACACAGATGCTGCAGGATGCTGACCGTCAGCTGTCTTTTGTCCATCATCCTTTTCTCCCTCTAAAGTTTCATGATCTCTGCCTTTTCTCTTATTCTCGAGTCCATTTTTACTGTAAAGCATGTCATGATTTTGCCTTTTTGGCTCATTTTTTCTTTGGGAAACATCCCTCTGATCATCTGTTACAGCAGTGAACACTTTGCCGCTCGTCTGTTCCGGCTCATCTGGCCTTAATTCAGAAACAGTATCATAAACCAGCTCTGTTCCTGTTTGATTACCAACAGGCTCACTTTCCTGTTGCGTTCTCTCACCCACCGATGCTTCCTTTAGGACGGTGAACTTTCCACTGGTCGTAACGTGTTCATCCCCCGTCTCTTCTTCTTGGGAGTCAGTTTGAAAATCTTCTTCATCAGAGTAGTCTGTGTCTGAAGACAGATTCTGGAAATCGCGTGTCGTCTTCCATCGTCTTTCTCGCGAGTCACTTCCAGAACTGCTTGGTGTCTTTTTTTGTCGCTTCACCTCACGGTCACCATCTTTCAAAATGAACCCTGATTTTGAGCACTTTCCCTTCAGTGTCACCACAAAGCGTTTCTTTTCCTGTCAAGGGACACAAATCAAGAGACATAATCACACTCTTATGGTGCTCCACCATTTTTTTTCTTTCTTTCTCTGGACTCAACAGGTTGCTTACCACCACTTTGAATTCCTCGTCCTCTGGCTCCTCTTCTTCAACTCTGCAAAAGAACAGAGGCATCTTATACAGTATGCTGCTGTTACTGAGCTCCCTTTGGACAGGAAATGCAGTTCAGTGCCTCACAGGTGACACACAGGTGCATCCAGTTTTCATACCGACCATGGTCTGCGATTTAGGAAACTGATTTCTTCTCATAAGTCTGAATCAGAACAGGTCTGTTTGCAGGAATTTGCTCGACAATGTATACCGCAATTTCTACATTATACAACATATATTATTTTCTTGTGTGTACATGAAATAAAAAACTTTTTGGTGGGTCAACTGTACACTAAACAGTCAGTTAAACCTTTTGACTGTCACCCATATGAACAGTTATTTACATTTATGCTATATCTGAGCAGATGGAAGTATTGCAACATGATAATATATAGGTAGCTTTTAAGATTTCCAAACATTATTACATTTTGGAAAGCAAAAAAAAACAAAACAAAAAAAAACTGACAAGCTTCCTCTATCACAACTTGATAATATTAAGTTTACCTGAAGATGTCCATCTTTCCAAAAATGAACTTAAAAAGTGAATATGAGAATAACCTGATGCCAGTTGGTGTTGAAGGTCTTTCATGTTCCTTGCTTGGCATAAACTTACTCTGATATTGGGGGAATGTGGACATCATTCATGTCAATTGTAGGTAAAGAGGTAAGCAGATCTCCTCTCTCATAGCCGTTCCACATCGTGCGAACACATTCAAAGTAGCCTCTCATCAATGATTTCTGGCATAAGACATAAGACACAATTTGAAAAGTTAACACTGATGAAGACAGAAGAAAATTAAGACATTATTACAGTTTCTTCTGTCTTACGTGTAGCCTGTTGTTCTGCCGGCGAGGTAACTCGGTTATTGACTGCTCGTTTGCCCTCTCAGCGAGGAAAGGGAAGCTGAACATTGGCACTTTGCCTTTTTTCCTTATCTTTTTTTTATCCGTCTTGGAGTTTTCATCCGAAGAAGAGTCTGAAGTGTCATCATCCGTTTGGGTTGATGTCAAGGTGGATCGCCTGCGTCTCTCGGATCGCACTGCCTCTGGCACAGGCGCCTGAGTGATGAACAGACTCTCCCCTGAATCACTGCACACAAACACAACAGTGGGGTCAGAGGTCAGACGGGAGCAGACTTAAATGAGACATGAGGGACATCCGTTGCTCACCTGTTTCCATCCCCCGGATGTTCAGACGTCTCATCCCATCCGCTCTCTTGGGCAGAGGTCTCATGGTCCGTGGAATCCGTGGCTAGTGTTTCCATCATTACATTAGAGGACTCCGTTAGTGGGAATTACACGCTTCGCACATCCTCTCAGCAGCTGTTTTGCGCCAGACTGTTCGTTATGAAAAAAAAGACGCTGATGCTTCTGACTGCAACACACACCATAGTTGTATTGAATGTACAACAACTTTTAACAGCCCCATAAACAAAACTCCAGGCGACGCACACATGTTTTAGTGGATCAACCAGGAAGTGTTTCAGCCTCACAGTCGTGACGTTGTATCGTTTGACCAATCAGCAAAGACGCGGAAGAATCTGTTTTAAAGAAATGTTTCTACTTCCGTTTTTTACTCCAAAAACATTTAAAGGCTTGATTTTGAGCTTCAGTTATGCTTTTGATATTTCTTATCACACTAAATTTTAAACCACATCACTTTCCTCTGCTTACTGCAACTTCGTCGATTGAAATGTTTAAAAAGAGTGTCATTGTACCTTATACATCTCTATATATATATACTTTATTAATTACCGAAAGTAAAATCATTAAATAACATTTGCTTTCACCACTGAACAAAGTCTATTAATTTGAATTAAAAAACAATACATGCAGTAACTGGACGCTAGTACCTACGTGATGGGGTTTTGTAACGTTTCGGTGACCAATCTTTCTGTGAGAGTGATCATCTTGTCAGTATTCACTCTTTGGTTGGACTTTTAACAGAACTGTGCCCAGTGCTGTCCGTTCCTGCACAGCTAGCGACCACAAAGCGCGACGACCTCCTTCAGATATGGCAGAAATCAGCAAGACCGAGAAAGTGCAGCTGCTCGCTCCGGATCTGGAAGAGCTGCGGGGTGGTAAGAACTCCTAAATCTGATGTGCAGACGAAGTGGCACAGGCGTCATTTTTAAAGGAAGGTCTGCGTTTGCAGTTTTACAGAAAGGGCTGGAAAACAACTTTGCAGAAGTTCAGGTGAATGTCGTGGAGTGTCCCGATCTCACCAAGGAACCCTTCCAGTTCCCTGTCAAAGGTAAGAGCTCACCGAGTTCACTTTAACAAATGTTTATCCAACAAAGTGAACACATACTTGCAGAACTGCCAATCAAACTTCTTCTGCAGGCCATTGCACTGCATGACATGTCAGATGTTGCCTCTCCCTTCTAGGCCTGTGTGGAAGTCCTCGCATTAGTGATGTTGGAGGTGTACCATACCTGGTTCCTCTGGTTCAGAAGCACAAGGTATTTCAAATGGATATGTTGAGCAACGACATACCGGGAGGCGGTTGACCGCGTAGCCCTTCTTTCTTTCAGGAGTACGACATGAACACCATATCCAAAGAGCTGGGCTTGCCGGGAGCCTTCATCCTGGGGGCTGCAGCCGCCCCCTCCAGAGTTGTTGGAATGAATGCTGAGGTGAATCGGTGTTCCTAAAAGTATTCAAGTTACAGCTTCTATGCACAAATAGTTATAGATGAATCCTTTCATCTGTAGCTGATGCCACTGGTCCTGACCGAGGCTGAGGGGAGGCCTGCGGTTAACAGCAGCTACTTTTCCTCCATCAATCCAGCCGATGGCAAATGTCTGCAAGAGAAATACGGCGACAAATTCTCCGACTGCAACTTCGGATTGCTGGGGAACCTGTATGCCTGTGAAGGGAAGTCTGGGAAGGTAAAAACTCAACTCATCTAACTGGATCATAAGCTTTTTCAGTCAGAGAAGTAACTATTATGTGAGTAGTGTTAGACATATAGCACTGAGAATATATGGTTAAATATGACCTTCGGAACAAATCTTTTTCACTCTACTAGTTTGAACTTTTGCCCGATCACGTGTGTGCTTTCAGAATAAGAGAGAATAAATATTAACAAAGGGTCAGTGTCTAAACAGGCTGAGTTATCCTCTCACATTGGGAGTATCTTTCCAGGTTATCGAGGTACGGGCCAAGAAGAGAACAGGCAGCAACAGTTTGGTGACGGCCATGAGGACGACCCTTGAGGCGCATTACCCCGATAAAAGCCTCGCTCTGGGAGGGAGCTTCATCATTCAGAAAGGGAAGGCTAAAATTCACATTATGGTAAATAATCGATGAGACGCGAAACACATCCCCGTTAGCCGGTCGAAGCCTCATGCATTAGTTCATTTTATTGTTTTGGAATCGTCAATAGCCAAGAGAGTTCTCAGCCTGCCCCCTTAACTCCAACGATGACGTCAACAACTGGCTGAAGCACTTTGAGGTCAGCGCTCCGCTCATCTGCCAGTCAGTGCTTGTGTCCAGAGACCCTGTAAGTAAAGCCAGCGCTCTACCCTCTGAGAGGCATGGAAGGACTTCTGTTTACCACTTTTTCTCTGCTTTGCTGTGTGCTCAGGGTCTGGACCTGCGTGTGGAGCACACCCACTGCTTCAGCCACCACGGAGAAGGTGGCCACTACTACATCGACACCACCCCCGATACGGTGGAGTACCTGGGCTACTTCCTTCCTGCAGAGTTTGTCTATCGCATCGACAGGCCCAAAGAGACACACGCAGTCGGACGAGACTGAAAAAAATAGTTTTTTTTCAGTAGTGTGGGCTCTGTAAATCAAACCTGTGATTTGTGTAGTAGTGTATCAAATTTTTTATGTACAAATTCATTACAATTAAAAAGATAAAATGAATAAATGTCAAGAAATAAAATGCTGTTGAATCTTAATAGTGGCCAAGGTGTCCTTTTTGAGATGCTATCCATCTGCGGATGAGCATTTCCAATTCTTGTTACTTATTTTTCAGGATCGCATGATCTTATGTTTTCCTCTGTTTCCTAATTCTTCTTAGAATTAAATTGTTGGTGTGAAAATGCATCCTAGTGTCAGTCAAACTATGTTAGGTTTGGAATTTGTAATAGATGCAACAAAATAAAAGGACACAAAGTTTAGCTTTGAGGTAAGCTACAGGTAACAAAGTGCCTCAAGATACAACTTAAGATAGTTTGCTTTATAACTGCTGCTCTGTTATGTATAGAAAACACAGGTTTAAGTGCCTTTAATCATTCACAGTAAAGTAATCCCCTTTAAGGGGATAAACGCATGAAAAACAGTCAATGTCCAGCCAACAAAACATCCCTTTGGAAAGCCTGAAAAACATTTTAAGAAAGTCATACTCATTGGGGAGAAAACAACAAGTAAATAAACGGATGGGACACCGTTTATACAGGTATTTATTTATTAATTCTTTATAAACTGATGAAATGTTGTTTTGCCTTAATTTGACTTCTTGTGGACAAACAGTGCCCTCTTGTGGCCGGAGACTGTAACATGTAATTTCCCACAATGCTGCAGCCGCACTAGCCCGGAAGTAAGTCATTTATTGACAATATGGCTGCCGAACAGGGACTGGATTTGGAGAAAATTTTCGTTTGACAGCGCTGGCCGGGAGATGCGAAGATAAGAAATTTCCACCTCAGGGGGAAACAAAACAGATGCATTTGAATGAAGGGACCTGCGAATCCATGGGTCGGTGGTAGAGAGCCGTGGAAACTTCCAGAGCGTGAAACCCGTCATGTCGTTTTTTAAGAGGAAAGGTGAGGAAGAAGCTTCCAATTCAGGCTTCAGCGTTAACCGTAACTAGTGACAACGACTCCTGCTGATGATGAAGAAGTCCTCGATAATATTCTAATAATGTGACCGAGAATGTGTGTGTAAATTAGCCAGAGACGCCACGGTGTGAGCGCTTTGGCCCCAATGGTCGCTGCGGGAACACGGTTAGCTTAGCGGTGGCCTCTATCCTCCCTCCTTTGCCCAGCCGGTGTTAGCCAGAGTGGCATTAAATCTGCCACAGTTGGCCCTCAGCTCTTCCCGAGTCAGCGGGGCACATTACAACGTTTGTGAGTGCGTAAGACTGCATTAGATCAGCACTGCTGTCAGACCGAGTGTCGAAATGTGCCGCTGCATCCGGCTGTCTGGACATTTGAACGCAGCATTATGGAGAATGACGCGTTGAAAGGGAATTCTGTTATAGGAAAGCAAATATTTATTATTTTATTTAACAAATAAATAAAACAATCTGTGACAATGCTGTGTCAAATATGAATTATATAATATTCTAGTATTTTAAGTCCCAACTGTTAAAGATACATTCACTGTGGTTGGTCAAAAGGCTGACAAAAGAGACCCATCTCAGTCTAACAGTGCAGCAGCACCACACCCGACAGCAGCCTCTCCAGGCCTGGTTCCCAGCTTCTGTATTTCCTTCCTCCAGCACAGTGGATGGAAACCAGTAACAAATACAGAGCAGCAAAAAACTATTTAATCCTAACTCAATATTATAAACTGTCAGGGTTTTTCGTCGGCTTGACGGAAAAATAGTTAGATTTTTCTGTAGTCAATTGGCAGAATATGTAAATGTTTAAATACACCTGGAGTCCTTCGGATGAGGGTTTGCCCATACCTGGTTTCCGAATAACAGCCTGACCTCTGCTCTTATTGGAGGGAAAACAAGAGTTAAGGCACAGAGTGGAGGAGCAGTGATTGTGAAACGGATTAACCGACCTCTTCCTGTGTTTTCTCAGGAAACTGGCTGGGTAACTTCAGTATTTAAGCAACTGTTCCCCTTATGTTTCCTTCTCATTGGCTGTTGAGGTGAAAATAGCTGGTGCAGCATGCACCAAAAAGAGGAAATATGAGAGTTCACATCGAAACCTTAATGATACTCAGCACTGTAGGAGGCGGGTGTCATAGAATTAGATACATTTTATATGCAGGGAGAATTATTTCTGCAAAGAAAGCACACATTTGTTGAAAGGTCAAATCCATTTAAACCATACTTTCTCTTATGATTACATTGCTTTAGTTTTCCGGCTCTGTTTATTCTAAGGACATTGGTATTTGCCACCCCAGTTGAGACAGACTGAATATTGAGAGCAAAATGTAGGAAAAAAATATTTCCTGAATTTCCTGAAAAATATCAGCTCATCTTGACTTTGATAGCAGTATCTCATTTAAAAAAAGATGGGAAAGGGTCTTTTTTTTTATTTTATTTTTTACTACAGCCCAACAGTTATAGGTCTTCTTCATAATTAAATTCGTTTCATGGCCTTTTGCTCCAAAAGTTTTAGTTTGATGAAAAGTCTTCATCACTATCAGGGAAACTCTGCTTCTCCCAAAGACAGCATGTAGGTTTGCATTGTCTTACTAAAATGTGCATGACCTTCCAAGAAAAAATGGATGGGGACGATGTGGTACTCTGGACGCTGTGCATGCCATTGACCTTTGACCTTTTGGGTGGCTCCGTACCAAAAGCGTGCAGTTTGTTGAATGTCGGCCCATTTTCACCTCAAAGACTGCTGGTCTAGGGCATTTCTTTTTGTAAAACTTGCTTTTCCAGGTTTTTGTTGCTCCTTGGCTGTTTTGGGTTGTATTTTTCTGCCTTCAAATTGGGAATGAACTAATATTTTTACTGAAGTGAAAACATTTTTTTTCAGAATCTTTGTTTTATTTATTTTAAAGAAATATTGGTTTAATCAAATCATCTGTTTTTACACTTAATTACTACATTTGTCAATTCAAATTTTATTGGAGTTAGAATTTATTTGTGGTTGTCATTTCTATTTATATGGTAATCACTTCCCTGATAGTTCTAATAGTAATAAAAAATACTCAAAATATCCTATAACCACATCATCCATTGTCTTATGAAAACTTCTTCTATTATGAGTGAAAACATTTAATGTTATATTGCAGTGTTTTTTATTTGTTTTTTTGTCAGTAACATGAAGGCCTTCAGAGTCCAGACTCCTCTACTCTGAGTCTGACACACATTCACTAACAGCTGTATCCTACATTTCTCACCAAAAGAGCTGTTCTTGTATCATTTGCTCTCAACTTGTTCTGTAATGTCAGGGCTTGAAATCGATATTTGGCCCAGCTGCACTGTCCAGTCTGGGCGAACATTAAAGCAAGTCACTCTGGTGAGTGGATGCCGCCATGTCTGCCACTCTGCACTCATTACTCTACAGGCTTTCATTTTTATCACTGAAGCTATTTGTTGCGTAAAACACATCTGGCCTTCTTTTTAGACCCTCCCATTAATTATGACTTGATTTAAGATGGTACGGGTCGGGTCTGAACGTGGCTCTGGCTGCAGCTGGCTGCTATCAGACGGAGGAAGAACAGATGTGATAGGCCAAGGTTGCACATCGAATAATGTATCAAGACAGAGAGGAAAACTGAGTTGTTTCTTTTTTTTTTTTTTTTCAACTTCATTGCTCAGCTTCTAAATTTGACTCAACATTTACCAGCAGCAGCGACCAGTCAGCAGTAAATGTGTTTGTTAGATTTAAACTCCTGACTACGTCATCATATAACATTTTTCTGGCCTTGTTGCCTCTGTGTACACACCCCAGTATTTTTTTCTTTTATTGGCAGGCAGGTCTTGCCCAGTCTAGTTATTCCAAATGGTCCATGCTCCTAAAGTTACACTCATACTCTCATCTTTCTCCGTACAGCCAAAAGCAAGGAACCTGAGAGAGTGACAGATGCTAAAGTTAACAGAGGTGAGTTCATCTTTGATTCTGGGAGATGTCCCATGCTTGACTTGGGGAAATGATACACACCCATGGAGTGTTAAGCCAGCAGCGTCGGTGTCGGTTTCAAACATTGTCACAGTTTTGATTTGGAGTTTAAAGTCTTGAGTTAAACTGTGTAGACGTGGCAGAAAAAGCTGTGAAAAAAAACACACAGCAGCTTTTTTTCTGGGGCAGCTTTCGAAGCCTGCGGCCTCGGCACACTGTGAGCTCTTTCAACAGCACCCAGTAAAAAGACCTTTTCATCTACGACACGCTGACGTGACGCACTCAGGCCATCCAGTACTTTGATACCATTGTGTGGTTTTATTTATTTGTTTATTTATTTTTAACCAAATCCTCCCTCTCCCCCCCCCTCCACCAGTTGCAGTCAGCCCTCACTCTCCATCGCTCGGACTGAGGAACCACAATGCCATCCAGGAGGCGGCCGGGCCCAGCCATGTGGCCATCAACGCCATCTCTGCCAACATGGACTCATTCGCCCGCGGCCGCACCGCCATCCTCAAGAAACAGCCCAGCCACATGGAGGCGGCACACTTCGGAGACCTCGGTACGCTGCTGTCCATCTTGTGTTCTTAAAAAGAAAAATTCATCACAGATGCAGTGCCGGCAGTCAGGAACCGCGAGGGAGATTCTAAATTCTGCTTTCTAAAATATTTGGATGGTGTGATTAGAATCCCAAGATGCCTCATGTGTTTTATCAGACTGACATAAAAGACTTAACAGAAAGGCGTTAACAGAGAAGGGAGATCTTTTTCTGCTTGCATCACTTATCAATTAGGTTTAGCTACATTTGGAAGTGTTTAAATGGAGAAAAGCAGATCCTTGACTTTAAAGAAGCTAAAAAATGTCCTTCAGGTTAAAACTTATTAAATACATACAATTTAATCTGAAGCCTGCTGTTTTACAGCTTGCATTTGGTAGAAAATATGGAGAATACCTCTGAAGATAAAAGCATAGAAAACACCTGTTTGTCTTCATAGGAGCAAACGGGTCTCAGCTACCTCAGATGCACTCTGGTATAAAGCATCTGAAACAACCCTCTACCTTTTCTAAAGGTCAACATCTAAGTTCTGTTCCCCTGTATGAGCACCCATCCTGGGTTTCGTCAGCATATCCATCGGTCGCATAATGAAGAAGCCTCGCCCCGTGCCTTTTAAAAAAAATTTTTTATGAGACGACGGTCATGGTCTGTAATTAAGTTGATGGATGCCGTCATTTAGAGAGGTGACAATGCACAGCGGCAAGCCTAACCTGCTGAATGACGGCAGGCAGGAGCCGAACGGGCAAGTGGTGGCGTGAGTCAGACGAAGGTGGCGGAACCTGTGCTGCAACTAAATCTGAAACGCCCGCTGACGTCTTTTCTGCGGCTGCAACAATGGGAAGAAAAGCTGGATGCAAAGAAGGATGAATTCAAGTGATAGATGAGGTTGATTTTTTTCGTCTGCTGTCATTGGGAGGCAAAATGTTGAGCAGCTTTTTATAAGGAACCCCCTGTGGTGTATCTTCACAGTGCTTTGAATTTTAAACAGCTGGCGGGGAAGATTGTGGTAGATTTTCTCTTTTTAAGTGAGATATTTCAGAGGAGGACGGTTATTCAGACACAGGTGCCGCTCCGGTGTGGTTGTTCATTATCCCGCTGGAGTTATAACCTGGGGCCCGAATGAAAAGCGGCTCGCGTTACATAACACCTCTCATGTTTCCAAAAGACAAAGAGAGCCGGAGCCGAGCTGCAGCAGATGTGCTCTGACCCGCTCTCTGTGAAGTGTCCTTTGTGGTCAGCCATGGCCGGCTCTGTCTGCCTCCCCCAAGCTGGTGTGTGGTGTCCTCAGGGACTGGAAGGGCAGTGGCTGAATGACAGGACACGTGTGGTTTTTATGTCCTGTTGAGAGAAATAAGTCTGGGTTTAATCATCTGTGAAACTGCCCAGTTTAAAGCTACCTCCTGATGGGTTAACGTTACATAGTGTTACTATATGACACAAATGTCCTCAGTTTGTCTGAAAAAAAAAACGGCTTATCTACCAGGAATAAACTTTGACAGGTGACAGTAATAGATGTTGCAGCTCCTGTGTGACTAAGGTCTCGGTGGGAACATCTAAAATACAGATTCTTACGTCACATCGGCCTCTCCTTCCAGGTCACTCCAGCGTGAACTATCAGCCGCAGGAGACTCGGTCTCGACTATCCAAGACGGTGGACCAGGTGCTCCGGGACGGCGTGGCCATGCCCCACTACACGCGCTTCATGGAGACGCGGGGCGCCGACCACCTGGTCCGGTTCTGGCAGGAGGCCGAGAGTTTCCGCTCCAGCAGCTGGTCCCGCGTCCGGGCGCACAGCCTCAACTCCGTCAAACACAGCACGCTGGCCGAGCCCGTGCCCGTCTCCCCGGACGGCCCGCAGCTCCCAGAGCCGGCCCAAAACTCCCCCAGCGCCATAGCTCGCTTCAGCGAGGGTCCTCCGGCACCTTTTGAGAGGCGAGGCTCCTCCAGCTCAGAGGCGGGGCTCAGGCCCGGCACCCCCCGAGCAGAGACGCCCAGCAAACAAGCCCCGTCCAGGACGGGAACCCCCTGCAAGGGCCAGTCCAGCAGCAGCCTGAGGGAGCTCTCCGACAAGCTCATGAAAAGTGAGTCAGCCTTACACGGCGGGGTTTTAATACTCAGTCTTCTACCTTCTTCGTTATTGTTAGTTTAAGTTGACAAAGTAAAACTTTATTGGCCTTATTGACCACACCGTCATTTGTTGTATTTAACGTTTATTACTGTTTATTACGTTTATACTGTTCACACCAATTAAGATCCAGTTTGGCCGAAAGAACCCAAAACTGGCGCTATGACGAGCTTTTGGCTTTTTCTTTACAGGTATAGAAAAAGATGCCGTTACCATCTTCACTAAGTACATCTCTCCTGATGCTGCAAGGCCAATCCCCATCACAGAGCAGATCAGAAACGACATCGTTGGTAAGACTCGCGTGTTTGTGTCAGTGCTGAAAAAAACGGCCAGTTTGTTTTTCTAAAAGAAAATTCAGTTATTGTGGATGAAAATCTCAGCAATCACAAAGACAAAACTTTGTGTCTCAGCTTAAAGTTTTCCCGTCTCCTCTCTGTCCAGCTAAGATCTGTGGAGAGGACGGCATGGTGGACCCCAACTGCTTTGTCATTGCACAGTCCGTAGTCTTCACCATACTGGAACAGCAGTGAGTTTGCGTGTGTCTTTCATATCGAGAGGCTTCTGTTTGCGTTGCACCCGCTCGCCGTCCTGGGTAGCAGCTGTCTTCACCTCCCACGTGCTCTTTTGATTTCCAGGCACTTTAGCGAGTTTCTCCGGAGCCACCATTTCTGTAAATATCAGATCGAAGTGTTGACTAGTGGCTCCGTGTTCCTGGCTGACATCTTGTTCTGTGAGTCAGCTCTCTTCTACTTCTCCGAGGTGAGCGGGCCCAGTTTCCACATTTTTTTTCCCTCGCACACAATCTGTCACACAGACTCCTCTTGACTCCTGATTTTAATGCTCGCCCCCTGAAGTCAGGACACTGCAAACATAAAAGGCACACAAATAAATCTGGTCCTTTAAGCTGTTGTGCTGTACTCAGATTGAACATTAAGTGGTAGAATATGTGAGCCTACGACACCTAAATGTTTCCATAAATGGTTTTTTTATTAGATTTCTTCCCGCTTTGCTTGTTTTCTCATCCACAGTTCATGGAGAAGGAAGAAGCTATGAATATTTTGCAGTTCTGGCTGGCAGCAGACAACTTTCAGAACCAGCTTGCGGCTAAAGAGGGCCAGTATGATGGCCAAGAGGCTCAAAACGACGCCATGATCCTTTACGACAAGTAGGTCCTCTTTCTGTTGTTTTCAGGTCTGATTGTGTTCCAAAAATATAAAGATCTTTAGGTGTTTGACATGAAAACTGTCAGGATTTTTTAATAGAAAGACTCTTGTAACTTTCTTGCATGATTTCTCGCATTAACAAAAGACAAAGATGACAAAAGACAAAAATGTAGTTTTACTCAGTTTGTTCTTCAACATTTTGTTTACCAAAGTGGTTCAAATGAAGGCTACAAATCTCTCTTTTTCAATTGGAAGCAAAAGATTGAATCTTATAATTAACCCCAGATGATAACAACAGTGGGTAGAAAGCATGTAAGTGGATTTTTTGGATAACACTTTACGTGAATTTAATTAGTGCATTATTAACTTGAAAAGAAAAAATAGAAAAAGATGTAGAAAACTGAAGAATAGATAATTGGATTATCTGGGAACGTCCCCTCGGAGTGGTTCTTCCGGAGGGAACTGTCTGGTTGACGACACTGTGATCTACAGGTTAATCTTCTTTGTTTACCACTTAGCTCAGAGTTTTTTTTAATAATCCTGTGCCAACAGATGCCTGAAAAGCAGATAAGACTCTTCGCCACAGACTTTCGAAAAATATGTGTCACATTGTTGCAAATGTTTAACCTAAACTCCCTCAAGATGAAGAGTCACTTCCAGTAGACGGTCTGAGTATTGCCATGTTTATTCTGCATCCCCTAAAATACATAATCTTCTTTTTTGACTGCTTCAGGATTGCTTTTGCACCTGGCCACAAAGTGGCTTCCTGTCCATCCCAGACATCATCAGACAGAAAAAATGTTTCTCTACTAAATTCCCTTCTGTTAAAATTGATGCATTCCTAATTCTACACAAGAAAAGGCCGATCAGTTACCCTTTCTTCCCCCTTTCCCCAGTTTACAGACAGGGCAGCTTTAAAGTTAACATCAGGCTTCTTCTAATACCGAAGTTCACATAATTGTTGTCTAGCCTCTACAGTTTTTCCAGTTGAGTAAGATTTAGTGGCAGAAATGCCAGTGGAATGGTAGTCTGCACCATATTGCTTCTCTTTAATGTCAAGTTGTATTTTTGTGGGTCGATAGTTTTAGTGCTTTGATATTAAACGCCACTTTTTTCCCTTCTCATTCCCCATCTCTGCGAGGCGGCCCCACGATAAAATGGACAATTGGGAACAAAAAAAACAGTCGGATTTATCACTCTGTTTCTGGGTGTCGATAATTTTAATGTCCTAATCTGAGTTTAACGCTTCACTCCTATATCGCCTCTCCAGGTATTTCTCTCTCCAGGCCACCAATCCTCTGGGCTTTGGTGACTCTGTGCGGATGGAGATAGAGTCAAATATCTGCAGAGAGGGAGGGCCTCTCCCCGACTGCTTCACCACTCCACTCAGGCAGGCCTGGACAACAATGGAGAAGGTCAGATTCTCTGATAACACTCTGTAATATTCAGTTTCACTTCCCTGACATTGGACGGTCTGAGCTTAAAGGAATGTTCAGATACAGTATGTGGAAAAACCCTCACAGCGTACAAGTGTGAGACCTTCATGTGAGTTCTATTATCCTTCAAAATATTAATGAAAAACTGACAAACTGTGGAATGACCCCCCCTGACAAAAGCTAGCGTTGGCACATAGAGTTCAGAAAGAAACCTGTGCTACTTCCATGCTAATATCAGGGTCCTTGTTACTTTCTGACTATGTTCATCTTGTTTTTTTTTTATTTGCTCAGGTCTACATGCCCGGCTTCCTGTCTAGCAACCTTTACTATAAATACCTGAGCGACCTCATCAACTCGGTGCGGGCTGATGAGTTTGTCAGTGTCAGCAGTCAAAGTCAGGGCGGGCTCACGGACAACGACCGCACGAGTTCAAATGTCAGCGAGGGCGCGCAGACACAGGTGAGCGTCCACCCCTCACCCACGCCTTCTCCCCCTCCGGGCCTGTTCTCCGTCTGCTGACATTTAGACCTGTCCCGCCGTATCAAGTGAACATTAGAGAGGCCGGGGTCATGATCATCGTATAATAAAAAAAAGAAGAGCTGTAGTGCTGCCGAACATTAACCCTACGGTTTCTCCTGCAGCACGGGGCCAAAAAAGCAGTGATCAAAATCCTGAAGAACTTTGACGAGGCGATCACGGTGGATGTAGCCAGTCTGGATCCAGAGTCCTTGTACCAGCGACCGTATGCTGGGTGAGTATCGGGCCATCCAAGGGACAGCCTGTTGGAGCTTTGGGGATCATGCCATTTGTTAGGATTCCCAGCAGTGCTTCTGAGGCAGGGCCCATTCGAAACACATTTTTTAATGTCTGGGCCGAGTGCTTTCGGACAGCGCCCCCTATCTTTTAGGACGCAGTGGAAAGCTGGTCACATGCGACACAATGCAAAAGGTTCAGAAGCTAAGAGGAGCCACAGCCTTGTGCTACACCAAAGCTATTTGTGCAAATCAAACAAATCCTCAGATATGTTGTGATCACTCTAACAGACCAAGAAACCGTGTCAGCTTTGTTGTCTCTCAGCTGATGTTTCAGTGATTTCCACACTTGTTACCTTTATGCTCTTTACCTTTTTATGTTCCTGTGATTTCCCAACTGATGGATGCTTTTATCTCTTTAGTTTTTATGGACTCCTTCAAAGTGTTTTATGAGCATCATTGAAAAAGCCTGTGCTAAAATAACTAAGAGGCTCTTTTTCTGTGCTCACGTAAATGACAGACATCAGCACTTTGATTTTGTGAGGCTGGAGGCTCAGTTTTCTCTTTTCTACCCTCTTCTGTTCTCTCAGCAAAATGACTTTTGGGAAGGTGAATGAGCTGGGCCAGTTCATCAGGGAGGCAGAGCCGGAGCCAGATGTGAAGAAATCCAAAGGTAAGACATGTTTCTCTCCTCCCTTTCTGCTCTCTTTATCTTTTTTTGTAATAGTCATGCGAAATGCGCCTTCTTTGTAGCCATACAAAAAGATCTCTTAGGACTATTTATATTCTTTTTACAGGCTTGTAAACGAATTCCAGCTGTTGGATGAAACTGTTGTTAAAAGCGTTGTTAAGGAATCATGAAAGTTGAATGTAAAAGAGGGAATGAAGATATTGAGCACTTGTCTCTGTTTTTTCATAAGGTTCCATGTTTTCTCAAGCAATGAAGAAATGGGTCCAAGGCAACTCTGATGAGGTAAGACGGACAGATGTTACCCATCAGAAACGCTTCAGGGGCGTGAGCTGCCTGCTCTTTGGCTGACTCGTGTTCACATTTCTCCACTCTTTGTGTGCCGCTGGATGAAGGCTCAGGAGGAGATGGCCTGGCAGATAGCCAAGATGATCGTCAACGACGTCGTCCACCAGTCCCACCATGACAGTCCCGGTAAATCTACCAAGGTAGGAAAAGCTGGCCGGGCAGTCTCTCCGCCGGTGGCCGCAGACCTTCTGTTAAATGTCTGCTTTTTTTGTCTGTGGGCAGTTATGACCCCGCTGAGGAACCAAGCGACCATCACTCCCTTCAGACTCCAGCCAAGCCGGTGATAAAGGATTCACAGCGCCATCTCCTGCTTTAACATCAGAAAGGACAAGGCTCTGTGTCCCCTCTCCAGCTAGAACATGTGTATTGTGTGTGTATTGTGTGTGTATGAGTGTGTATGAGTGTGTATGAGTGTGTACGCGCGTGAGCTCGGGTGACTGATCATTTGCGCATGGATTAATAGAAAACTTGAAGTACATATTCCATCTCCATAACACTATGAAGGTACAAGTGTTGTCCCTAAAGTAAACGGGAGTGCTATCACCAAACCGGAGCAAACGTCCAGCGCGTGTCCAGAGGCTGACCGGCACAGAGAGCAAAAGCAGCAGCAGCATGCGAGGACTGTCACTGCTTTCTCCATCTCATCCCAGACCTGCAGGGGGATGTCCCAAAGACTGAACGAAGCTCACTCACTCAACACACGCCTCCTCGCGCTTTTTATAACCATTCCTAGTTTTTACAGGAAATTCCACTCCTGAGGGCCTCTCAGTTCCTATTGGTTGGGAACATATTTGCATACTTTCCCCCTCCAAACCCACCCGGGGTGGTGTTGTCAGCCCTTCTCTGGCGTTAGCTGTCCTGCCTCGGTTGTTATTGAACTTTTGAGTAGCTTTTAAAAAGACAATGTAGAAGGTTCGGTTGATTAACGGTGAAACAGACGAAGAGCTGATTCGGTTTTTGGATGTGACCTACTTTGTGAAAACCAAGGCACCTTTACAGAGCGTAGAATAAATCCTCCTAAAAGAACTTAAAGTGATCCAGTTGTGTTGGAAAACTGAACTCCATGTCCTAGAGGCTTCTATACATATATTATATAAACTATAAATATATATATAGATATTCTGGTTTATCTTGTATGTTAATGTTGTTGTTTTTTTTTATGGTGATCTTAGGATTTTTTTAATGCATTGCAGAAACAAACTTAAGTGATGGATGGACTGTTAAACTGGAAAGTGTGCTCGGTCAATTTCAGTTTTCTTTCCCCCCCCCCATAAATTTCTTTTGAGCCTTACCATGATGTGGAAAGGAACCAGAAAAGACTCTTGGTACTATGTACCACTAATGTTTTCTGACATGTATGTGTACCTAATCTATAATATATTTAAGATGTGTTTTGATTTAAATACAAACGTCATTTTGCCTCGGCTTCTTATTTCTTTTCAAAACGGACCTGTGTTATGTCTTTGCACTTTTAGGCCAATGCAGAGTTTGGTATTTTTATATTTTGGATTTATTAAGAAAAAAAAAACAATTATCGTCTTAGATCGTTGAAAGGTCGACAGTTTTCACGGGTCACCACAAGGGGGCAGTGTTCGCTCTGCTGCTGAAAAATACCAGCGTTTTCTCCCTTAACACCCAGAATTCAACTCCAGAGATTAAAAAATAAATATAAATAAAGGAATCGCATTTTAAATTAAATGAAAAAGAATGCTTTATTTACCGTTTAAAGTACTTAAACTTCTCTAGTTGAGTCTTCATGTTCTTGCAAAGCATTCTACGTTTTTTTTTAGTTTGGGCACAGGTCTGTGCATCCCTGTGGATGAAACATGCACAAAAAGCAAAATACACTACACACAATCCACCCTATTGCATGAATTAAGCTTTAAAGCCACTGAAATCTGATACAAACTTTCCGTTTTCCGTCGCTTTTATCGCTGAGCAGCAATTATGGGAAGAAGTTATTGAACATTTCGAGGATTAGGAATTTATCTTTTATTTGATCATAATAAAGAGGAGGGGGTCGTGGTGGCTATGAAAGCCAGATCAGTAAACTTCACCTGGACAAAATGTGAGGTGGGGTACGGACAGGCACAGGAAGACGTGTGAAGTTAAAAAGAGGATACACTCACCGGAAATGAGGGTGTTTGCATTGAGAATAAAAGGCAATGTTAAACCTTATTTCTTAAATGTATAAACCCCTATTGAAGCAGCTTTTAAGAACTTATTTGAGACCTCGTAGACCAAATTTTGAGATTCCTGCTGTCAAACCTTGACAATCTCATGAAGAATAGATAAATGTACATATTTTATCTCCTCAAATAAATGTATAAATATCGCATGTTCTTGCATGCGTACAGTACATTAAACTAAATGTATCTGTTAATGACTTTCAGGGAGCAGAGCAACTTTATTGTCTCCATTTATAATCTCTGTTTTGCTTGACGACTATTTCTGAGTCTTGAATTGATTGTTTTTGTGTTATTAATTTCAGTTGGTGCATCGCTCCCTTCAGTGGTGTTTATTAATAACACAGAGGAACTTTACTTACTTTTCTTTGCTGCATGGAAAGAAACACAAGTGATCTCTCTCGTGTCAACACTTATAAAACAATATGAAAAATATCTCCAGATGTTTACACAGCAGCTGCACATAACTTTGAAGAACGTGGGGATATTTTTTATAGAGGTGCTGAAACCTGTGAAGTTTGTGCATTCATGACAAAGATGACAGTCACCTTTCTCAAAATGCAATTTCTAAGATATGTCATTGCATCTGCAATGCTGTTTTATTGGATGGAATTATTCCAAATGTTCTCAGTGATTGAGCAATAAAAGTCCACAGACTCTTTTTTTTATATAGACCTATACCCATTTAGTTTCACATGTTTCAAATGACCTGTGGTGGACACTGTGTGATCTGACAGACTCTTATCCGTGGGGACATTACTTTGAACAGCCCACCTGGATGTTTCCTCTCTAGTTACGGCAGCTTTACGCGTCAGGACGCGCGGCGCAGCGCACTGGAGCCAGAGCCGGGAGCGCAGACGCAAAGTGCGCCAGTATCCCGGAGAGAGCAGAGGAGAGAGGCTGCCCCGAGACGCGCTGCTTTCTGCTCCGACTTCATCTGCTCCTTCCCACTCATGTGACAACTGCGCAATCCAGTTTTGGGTGTGAAAAACCTCACGTTTGGCATTTTCACCAGCATGATCGAGCGGACGCGCATGACTTGACTTTACTCCCATCACACACCAGATTTTTTTTTTGTCAGTTACTGTGTTTATCCCGATCAGATGTCCAGGGGACGTGGGCTGTGCTCACATTGGTGGATGCCCTATTGAGCGCCTCCCTTCTTTTGCTCATGTAGTGGCTGAAGTTGAAGTCCCGCTCCGAAAGGCGTGAGCTCCCAAATGCATTCGCTGCTGGGCCGGGAGAAGAAAGAAGAAGAAGTCGGGTTCGGGATCGATCTGGGTCTGTCTCCGGGCTTCCTGCCCCAAGCTGCCACCATGTTCAGCTGCGTGGGCTGCTTCTGGGTGCTCCTGTCCTCCGCCCTGGTCGCCGTCTGTAGTTTCAGCTTCATCTCCCCGGCGTGGATTGTTAAGGACCAGCTGAGGAGCGGCCACCAGCATCAGCACCACCACGCCAACGGCAAGGACTCCGTCAGCTTCGGGCTGCTGTGGCACTGCTCGGAGTCTCTGGATCACATGTACCGGTGCTACACCTTCGGGGGATTGGGCAAATTTGCGGAGATCCCCTCCAGCTCCTGGCAGGTAACGCGAACGCACCCATGCCCATCACTTCCGCCACATGTGCACGGATGAGAGCTAAGTGAGGGGGATCAGTGGGGTAGGGCATGGCAGTCTGCAGGAAAACACAGCAGAAAAAACATTTATTCACACAAATGCATCAATGATTGTGACGTTCCAGGCGTTTCAGTCTTTCACCTCGCAGGGAAGTGGCCTATATTGGAAGTCAAAGTGACACAGCACAGCAGACAGGGAGGCTCCTGCCTGCCTACACAGCACGTGCCAAAGAGACTGTCAACCCACAAAGCTGCAGCCTCCTCTTTAGCCACTCTTCACACCAAAAAATAAACACATCGATGCGGTGCCTCTCAGTCAGAGGGGGGATCATTCATTGATCCGGGAGGTGGGTGCTTCACACAGAGCAGAATCCGCAGCCCAGCATGGCACACACACACACACACACAAACACACAGCAAAGAGTGGCGTGGGGCTGGCACACGCCTCTCTGATCAGGGCTCCCCACGAGCTGGCATTTCTCTTTGCTCCCCGCTGAACGTGGCCGAGGAGCCATAAAGGACACAAAACAGCTGTGCAATTACACTAAAGTACGACAAGCAGCCTCACAGGAGGGGCGTTTGAGGCCGAACATCAGCACAGATGTTGTCTTTTTGGGGCGAAGGTGGAATGGAAATGTGACTTTTGACAGAAGTTTGAAAAATGCTTCGTTGAACGTAGTCTGAAAGTCTTTCAGAGCAAAAACAAAAGGGCCTTGCTGGGAGTCCTGCTAATGGGATGCAAGTTTGGGGATAATGTCATTACTTACTTGAGGCTGTTTACACCATCACACCCCCCTCCAGCCCGCTCACCACAAATCAACTGTGCACCAGGCACCTCTGGAGTTATGATTTATGTATGAAGGCGAATTAGCATTTGAAAGGGTGTTTTTAATAAGTGGTGTTTGTGAGAGTGGAGCGCGAGAATCTGCAGAGAGGGCTGGGAAAAAAAAAAAAACTGCTGGGTTTCTTCAGTTCAGGTAGTGGAGCTGCGGTCAGAGAGTCAGCTCACGCACTTAACTTTCCACAACGGTAAAGCCTCCTGTAGTAAGGTGTGCATGTCCACTGAGCTCTGGCAGAAAGGTCTGACCTGTGGGGCAGTGCCCTCTGTTATACGGAATAAGGCTTTAACCGCCTAATGGACTGGGTCTCTTTTCCATTCCGTCCTTTAGCTGCTTGGTAACATGATGCTGCGCTGTGGTTTTAATGTTGTGGCTGATTCGTGATGCAACGCTGTGCAAAATTCTTCACAGATTTATGGAAATATGAGTAAACATGAATGGAAGTACGTCAGAGTTTGTACTATTCTAACAAGCGGGAAATAATTTGGTGCTATTGCCTTTGCTTGTTAAGCTAATACAGGCTTTCAGTCGTTTCTTCACGTGGTCTTTGGTCCTCTGAGCTTTTTTAAGGCGCCCCAAAGATTTTCTACTCTTACGATGGCACACTGCTTTTATAATGAGACCAGGCTCTTGTCCCTGCTGTGTCAGATTTTCAGTCCAATTTTTGTGTCAATTTGCACAACTAAAACCTTTCTCCGAATCCCCACTTTTTTAACCACTTTTCTAGTTTCACCCTGTTTTAAACATTTCTATAGGATACAATACAGCATACAGTGACAGCACGCATTTTCTCTTTTGGAATAAACTTTTTCATGCAAATAAAATTTCTGTGTCCGTCAATGTGTCTTTTGATACTATTTATATTTTTAACTAAAGAAACGGGAACAAACCAGGAGTCATTGTGACTGGCTGATTATAAGAAAGTGCCTAAAGTTGAAGCTGGTTCTCTGCTAAGTTTTTTTCCATTTAGTTGTGTGCCTTTTGTATGCTGGAATGTTTCATGAGTCAGTCCTAAGTTTTGGTAGTTTCATAAACAATGGTGGTGTGGTTGTTAGCACCATCGCCTCACAGCGAGAGGGTTCTGGGTTTGAATCCCGGGGAACCAGGACCTTTCTGGGTGGAGTTTACATGTTTTCCCTGTGTCTGTGTGGGTTCTCTCTGGGTTCTTCGGCTTCCCCCCACAGTCCAAAAAACCTGCATTTTAAGTTAATTGGACATTCCAAATTACCCTAGGAGTGAGTGTGAGTGTGCAGGGTTGTTGGTCCTTGTGTGTCTCTGTGTGGCCCTATGACGAACTGGCGGACGGACCAGGATGTACCCCGCCTCTCGCCCATTGACCACTGGGATAGGCTCCAGTTTCCTTCCCGACCCCATTAGGGAATAAGCAGTTACAATAATTGATAGATAAACAAATGCATTCCTCTGCAACAGAACCTGACATAAAACTAATAAAAGTCAAAAGAAAAACTTTGTAGGTCCTTCTGAAAGCCTGGAGAAGTGCAGCAGAGGACCCCTTTAAACGATTCCACGGTGCTGTGCATTCACAATCTACCACATTAGCTTTAGCGCGCCACACTGTTTAAGGCTCATTTGAGCAGAATCAGGGAACGGTTCGCCCACTTGTGAACGCGTTAATTAGCATCCTCCGCGTTACGAGCTCCTCTCTGGGTGTATTAGCGAGCGCGAGCCTTGATGGAGCCGCGTCCCCGCGCGGAGCGACTGGCATTATTACGGCGGCGAACCCCGAGCTCGCCACCACCATCCCACAGCCATTAATAAAGGTGAAGGGCCCATTAAGTTTTCATCAGGGCCACTTTATTACTCCGCCACTCCTCACCGATGCGCCAGGGTTTTTTTTTGTTGATGCCCTCCATTTTCTAACTTGTCAACAACCTTTGCACATGACAACACAAACGGGGATGCGCGGCGTGGGGCTTAAAGCGACCCGGCGCCTGGTAAAGCTGTTGTTTCCACTCGGTGTCCGTGTCGGTGGGAGCAGGAGACAGCCGCAGAAGCTGTGTGAGGGGAACCAGAGGAGGGGGAAAAAGGGACAGGAGGAGGGGGGGCGGCCTACTCGGAGTTCCTTTCTGTTGGCTTCACTGCTGTCACTCCACTTTGTCAAAAGCTTTTTGCCTTGGAAAGCTGGTGCTGCCGGCGTTCTGGAGCCCAGGATGGCTGGCAGGACCGCTGCCTTCATCCTCCAAACTCCAAACTCACACACGGACACAGACGGGCTAACCGCTGCGAGGTCTGAAACGAGGTTTCAAACCTATTCTCTGTGCCATGTGTGCAAAATGGTGTTAGCGTCAAAGATTTAGGCCAAAAAATAAAACCTCTCTCTCTGCCCGGGAGGTGAGGGGTTGTGCGATCTGTGTCATTCGTTGTGTTTCTCCATTCATTGCAATATTAATATAAACCCTCTGTGTCTGCGTGTTAAGAAAAACGCCAACTGCAGGAAGTCATTACGGGAGAACAAGCATGCGCGGCGCAGGGGTGGGAGCCGGGTCGGATGTGTCATTTGGAGGAGATGTGCTGCGAGCTTCTGCTTAGTAAAGTGTGAGGGGGGGAGTGCACCTGCCAGCCAGCATTTTCACCTTAACTTGTTAACAGCTTATGCGCCTCCAGCTGCTTCACGGCGCTAAACGCTGGAGCTGGATTAGCTCGGCCTCTGTCACTGCCAGTCAGCAGTCCCACACACACACACAGGCACACACTCGACTGTGCGTGCCTGTTTCTGTGGAGGGATGTGCCACGTCTGGGTGCCTTCCGCAGGTTTCTCTTACACCCCGTGCCCACTGAACGCGAGGGTTGGTCTTGTAACTCCGACGAGCTCTGGCCGAGCTCCAGGGGCGCCAACTGGAAAATGAGCTGGTCCTCGTCTTTTTGTTTTGTCGGCGCGGGAGGTGGCAGCGCGTCAAAGCGGGAATTCTGGACCGCGGAGGACGGCACGTCGGCTGGATTCCGCCGAAATCCTCCACCACATGAGACCAAACCGTCGGCCCGTGCTCTCCTCCCCGACATGCCAAGAAGATGAATTGTAGACGTTACTGGAGATGTTTCACCATGCCTAATTGCCAGCTACCTATGGAGAGCACTTACTGGTGCAGAAACCATGCTAGACGCTCATTTCATCACTCAGTGAGCCAGAACTACTTTTAAGTGGGTAGATAACTCATTTAATGAAATTCACTTACGATTCCTGTGTCTGGCTGTGGCGAAACTTTTGTGTCTGGCCTCCTTTATTCTTGTCAATATTTAAGAGATTACACTGTAAAATACATTAGGAGGAAACTGCCATAAATCTGTATTTTGTGAGATACAGAGGGGGACTTTACAAGTTCATTTCAGTACTGGCTCTGCTTAAAGTTCACGGTCTTGTATGAGATCAGTTCTATGAGAATGACATCATGAAGTTGGCCAAATCAGAGAAACGGTAGATTGAGCTATTTTAAGGCTGAAATCATGGCTTTTGTTCATGTGACTGACTTCAGGGCGCTTCGACACTGTTTGCAGTCTGTATTTACCTCTAATGGCTCCAAGGTGAAAAGGTTTTTTGCATTCAACTCCGTCCATTTGCTGTAAATATAAGGCTGCAGCAGGCTGGAGGCTGGAGGCTGTAGACGTGGGGGCAGGATGGATCCTGGACAGGTTTCCACACAGAAAACCACTCACACGTACAGTTTGAGTCCTGTGCGTTACAATCATACACAGGAATTTTCTTTTCAAACTAGAAGCCTCCAAGCTGCTCACATATATAATGATCAAGCCTTCTTAAAGCCAAAGCATGTGGTGCAAGGCAGGAAAGTGTAGCTGTGAAAATGTAAACTTTAAGCAAAAAAATGTACTTTAAGTATGTAGTTTTAAGACTCACCGTCTTTTCTGGGGCTTCTTGAGGATAAAACTGAATGAGATCCTAGGCCTCTATTAGTATCATTGTGGTTATTGACTTATGTTTTCATTACCTCAGAATGAACTATCAATATTTGTAACAATATCCATAAATCCATAACATCCAGTATCCACAAATAGCTAAAGATCTCTCTTCATGTGAGTCTGTGTTTGCTGTGGCTGTTTGGCAAGATAACAAAAGCATTTTGTGCTACACTTTAGAATATGAAGATGATATTTTCCATGTATCAGTACGACAGAAAAATAGTCCAGAAACAGGACAAAACAGGACAAAAACAGGAGGAGGCAAAATAATCTGCAGACAAGTTGGATAAGGCAGAAAATTAAAATGGCTTTTCACAGACAGAAATTCCTCTTTTGGTTGTTTAGCGACATACCAACGTGTCTTGTTTGTTATTAAATGGTTGGTTTACTTATCCACCAATAGGGATGGACAGCTTTTTTTCCTCTGTGTCGTACTAAAGGCTGAAATACATATTCTCTCACAGCATGACCCCCTCCTTCATGGATGCACTGGAAATGCACTTGCTCTCAAAATCACCACAGGGCACATGCTCTTTGAACGTAATTATGGGTAATTTTGTCCAGCATGAGCAAACGACAGTCTTCACTTTGCTTTTTCTGGGCATTTAAAGAAGGAATTAAAGACGGGTTGTGGAGAGCGCTAATGAGCATACCTGCCATCACCACGTCAATAAGTGCCTGATTACCTACTTACTATTGATTACAAAGTTGATTACAATTTGATGACAAATTTTTGCCGTAATTT